ACTGGGACTGAGTCGATCGCTAGTAGTTTGTACATGTAGATGATCTCCCAACACGGGTGTTCATCGATTTGGTGGAGTACTGTAACTCACTGGGCCTTCCGTTGATTGTCGGATGCGATACCAACGCACACCACATGGTGTGGGGCAGCACCAACACGAACCGGAGAGGGCTCAGTCTTCTGGAGTACCTTCACACCACGGATTTAGAAATCCTCAACCGTGGCAGCGTATCGACCTTTGTCATTTCGCGTAGACAAGAGGTGATAGACTTAACATTGGGCTCACTCTCCATGGCACCGATGATAAGCAAGTAGACAGTGTCTGACGAACGGTCCCTATTGGATCACAGACACATCCTATTCCGCTTGGACCTTGATCACAAGGCTGGGCCCAGTAAGTTCAGGAATCCCCGGAACACGAACTGGGAGTACTGTTGCTTCCTGGTAATTTCGCTCATGAAATTTTTGACAAAACCATTCGCCTTGATGGGACTAATACGTTAAGGTCCTAAGGGCTAAACTAGAAGATCGAAAAGGGGGGGTTTGGATGTACACCAGAAAGGTTGAAGAAAGGGCAAAGTTTTTATATTGGTGTAAAATTTATTGAAAATCAACCGCTTTCGGCCTATTGAAGGGCCATCTTCAGGGTCGGCCCTGAAAAAGTGTATGATTTTACCTAACAGTTTCATCAAAATTAAAATTAACTCCAACTTATTCGTCAGGTCCGTATGGAGGATACAAAGAGACATAAAAAGAGCATGAGTTCGGTCAAACTTGCCAAATGCATAAAATACAAAGAAAACCAAGGGCAAAAACAGGAACGCTCAATTACGAACAAACAAATTATATTACATTACACGAAAACAAATACATAACATATTTAATTGACATACTGACACAGGAAGATGACTTAAAGAAACCAGTGCGGTACCAAAAGCAGTAAAACGCGAGTCGCGAGCAGACCAAGGCGAGTTACTGCAGCGACGTCTATATGTGACCCACTCCCCCCCTGAACTCTCTTCAAAGATAAATCATCAAAGCAAATTGAACAGGATAAACAAAAACAGCTAAAGGGTTAGACTAGCAAGCACTAAGAAGGTTGTTCTTACCGACCACCCCAAGGAAGTCCTAACGATAAGCATTCTCCAAAATGACAGTTTTGCATAGAAAAATGTCATGCCAAAGAATACTCACCATCAAGGTCCCCCCAGGAAAATGGTCGGTGCAAAAGTTCACCCATGTTCATGACTCTAAGTGAAGGGATTGGAGATTGGGTTCTTGTCGTTGTTGACATTAATTTTCAAATTTAAGCAGTCTGGGTTTCTTAGGGACTCTCTCTTGATTTCGAAATTCTCTAGAAAAACCATTTTGCGGGTATTGCTATTTCTAAATTCATGGATTATTTTGCTATTAGAATTATGTGAAAAGTTATGTGCGGAGAATTGTATGTTGTGTCCGAAGACTGATTTACTAGGTCTTTTGATGTGTTCTTTAATTCTGATGTTCAGAGCTCTAGTGGTTTTGCCAATATAAGTATACAATTGCAATCGTTGCAATTAAGCTTGTATACTCCGCTTTTTGTAGTATGATGTAAGCTTGGCGTAGAGTTGACTAAGTGTGAGCCTAGGGATTTTGAAGACTTGCACGAAATTTTGAGATTTTCGATATTATCACTGACGGTTCTAGTAACTTTGTTTGAGACAGTGCCAATGTAAGGAATGGAGAAAAATCTAGGGTTGGACGTACTCTGTGATCTATAAGCTAAGTTTATTTCATGCTTGTTCCTAATTTCACTTAAAGTCTTATCGACTAGAGTGTGATTATAGCCATTATTCACTACTATTTGCTTTATTGTATTCAGTTCTAAGTTGAAATTTGAAAGGTTCATCGGAATATTGAGCAGACACATTTAAGTAACAATAGGGAGTTGCCATTTTATGTGAGGCGCAGTGATGGGAAGAGCTAGGGACCGATCCTAAAGATGGCCCTTCAATAGGCCGAAAGCGCTCGGTTGATTTTCAATAAATTTTACACCAATACAAAAACTTTGCCTTTTCTTAAAACTAGAAGAGTTTTCCACGCCATGCCGCAGCGCAAGGCAAGTGGAAGAAACAGCCGAATTCATACGCAATCACCGATGCGTATGAACGAAGCCGTCAGCTTCGGACTTATCGAGGAAAGAAAAAAATCTCTTGGTGGCACTCCGACCTCGACAAGGCTCGTCAAGAAACCCGCAGGCTCGTTAACAGGGCCATACGGTCAAAATCACTAGCTGACTGGGACAGCCACAAGCAGTCTCAGCGCAGATACAAAGATCTTACAAAAAGGTCCAAAAGAGAATCGTGGAGGACGTTCTGCGGAAACATAGACGAGCTTCCGGCAGCCGCGGAGCTCCAATAGATTCTTTCGAAAGACCCAGGACGAGAGCTGGGGTCACTAAGGCTTCCCTCCGGTAGTTATAGCGCTACCGCAGAGAAGGTACTTGGTTGGCTCCTGGAAACACACTTTCTGGGCTCTGAAATCCGGCAAACTGGTAAACCACCAATGCACGCTCCACAAGCTGGCGCAAGGCCAGCTGGCTGGAAGATAGCTGCGAGGGTGGTATCAGAAAACTCCGTAAGATGGGCCATCCACTCATTTGGAGCTTTTAAGAGTGCGGGACCAGATGGAATCTTCCCGGCTCTTTTACAAAAGAGGCTGGTTGGCGAGTTTCGGTGTGCAGAAGCTGGGGGGTGGATGAATTTTCAACTCCCCAAAATAAGGCATTCTGCCTTATGAGACAGAAGCTTTTTTTTTTGTTGTGAATAAATAATATGGACCTACTGAGGCCTGAACAGGAACGGTTGATGGGCCTTCCCCCTCTCTTCACAATGCCCACCGCGTTTTTTAAGTAAGGTTCGCAAGGAAAACTCCTACCCCACAAGTCAGAAGAACGAAAAAAAGTGGAAATTATATATTTCCACTTCGTCCTTTCTGTGCTGGGTTGGCAGCCGGTTGGCGCTCTATTATTTATTTAAACATATATTTTTGCGAAATCGAAGTTGTCTTCTCCCTCGCTATAATTTAAAGAAATAGTGGGGGGTTTTACAAATTTTACATGAATAAAAAAAAAATAATACGTTCATTGACTGATAGATATGATTTAACCCGCAGGTTACATAGGTACATAAATTTTTTCTGCAAGGAGAAAAAAAACAACATTAGACTAGCTCAAATTTGGTATAAACCTCGGCAAAAACATTTTTTGATCGAGCTCCGTCAAGTTAGCCCCGCCTATTAAATGTTTCTATTTTTTTTCGTCCTAGTTAACTGTGCTCCCAGTGTGCTTTACTCTGCTACTAATATTGGGAACTGTGCTGAGTTGCACTCCATGCTATTCACAATAATTTGAGGGGGGGCCAACTTGACGCTTAGCCCCCCCGTTTTTTTTATTATTTTGTCGAACAAAAGCAAAAATCAATGACACTTTCAGTGTGCTGAACTGTGCTACAAATATTTTCAGTTCAGTTTTTCGTTTAACCCTCGTTTTCTCAAAAAATGCTATGGCGAGGCCAACTTGACGCTCAGCCCTCTGTTTTTTCGATTATTTTATAGAACAGAAGCAAAAATCAATGCAACTTTTAGTTTGCTGAACTGTGCTGTAAATTTTTTCAACTTAATTTTTCGTTTGATTCTCGTTTTTTTTCGAAAAATGCTATGGCGGGGTCAACTTGCTGAGCGTCTCCGTTTTTTTGATTATTTCATCGAACACAAGCAAAAATCAATGCAACTTTTAGTGTGCTGAACTGTGCTGTTCATGTTTTTAACTTAGTTTTTCGTTTAACCCTCGTTTTTCGCAAAAAATGTTATGGCGGGCCCAACTTGCCTAACAATAGAGCGCCAAGCGGCTGTCAACCCAGCGCAGAACGGACGAGCAAGTGGAAATGTATAATTTCCACTTTTTTTCGTTCTTCTGACTTGTGGGGTAGGATCTTCCCTTGCGAACCTTACTTTTAACGCGGTGGGCATAGTGAAGCGAGGGAGAAGGCCTGCCAACCGTTCCTGTTCAGGCCTCAGTAGGTCCATATTATTTATTCACAACAAAAAAAGCTTCTGTCTCATAAGGCAGAAAGCCTTATTTTGGGGTAGTGTAAATTCATCCACCCCCCAGATTCTGCACACCGAAACCCGCCAACCAATACGTTTTTCAGTTGGCCGAGGACTTGGCATACCGGGCCACCAAAAAACGGCCTTCTAACAGATGACTGAGGCTTTTGTGTCACGGGCTCTTAGACTATTAGGTTCAGTTTGAAAGCTTTGGAGTATGCTCCGCATTCCGATCCTGTTTCAGTTTTAGATCCATCAATGTAGATGTTCTTACCCCTGCGACTGTGTTATTATCAATGCCTGTCGTGTTGATTGCGTTGTGCTTTTTGGAGATGAAATTTGGCGTTGCAGAGTCCACTCTGGCTTCCAACAGTGTCAGCGAGTTTCTTGTTTCGCGCCATAGGCGGGCTCTCTGCAAACTGACTGCACTTAGTTATATACCAACAGTGCGGAAGCGCATAATTATGGTTAACACGACCTTCTTGAAATAGATGTTCAGGCCAATGACAGTTATTAAGGCGAGTCTTCTTGACCAAATAAATAATTTATTTTCAGGTTATCATAATTTCTCTCCACGAAGTGAAAACTTCAAATATTTTTGTAATTCCTTTTGAGTCTGTGATCCCTAAGTTGTCATGTCAAAAGTTTGTGTAGTCACTGTAATTGTATAAATCTGTGTTATTTGGTTTACCTATAATATCGTCTGTGTGAACTAAACAAGAAATAGTATATCAATTTTGTGTTGTTGACCATCTCCAGCAGTACTGTTGAAAAAAAATATATCTAATATTCGAATAGTTTCTAAACTACTGACAGTGATATTTTCACATGTTTCCAATTTTTTTTGCTTATTCAATACTTACACAACCTTGGAATGTTTCAAAATCTCCAGCGAAAGAGGATGAGTCTCCTAACAGTGTAATACATGTCCAATTTTTCTTTGGCTTTTTTTATGCTGAATTTCCACGACACAATGAAAAATCTAGTGCCATTAATTGCTGAAAAGATAAGTACAAGCAAGTGAGTATAAAACTTAGACAATTTATTACAAATAGCTAGGGAAAGTTCTCTTACCTTGCCATCCTGTACCTCGAGCCGGTAGAGTATTTGTAATTCGAAAACAAATTTTGGTAGTGAGCAGATTCTACCAAAAAATAAATTGTGATTTATTGTACTTACAAGGAATTTCTGACGAATAGGCTTGCAATTTGCACCATTCTTGAATTAGTTTTATATATTCGTGTACGTCCTCTTTGGTTTTTTCAAATTCCTCGTATACTTTATTAACCAATTTTTCTTCGTTTATTTCCAGTTTTAACACTTCCATTGCTAAAATAGATTAACAAGATCTCACATAAGTTTAATTTAATTATGTAAGGTTCCCTTTTCCCTTATAACTGAAATGAATTATTTAAGTATTTTATTTTGGGATAAAAGTAGGTACCTACCAGACAAGATGAATAATTAAAAAACTTTCTCGATAAAATTATGAAAAAATCTTGATATAGGTAAATTATATTTGAATGAAGTAAAATTAAGTGAACCAGTTAAATAAAGCTATTATTAATTTTATTTACTTATGTTATTTTTGTTGGGACTTCGGAGACAACTTACCTATCAAAGACAGAGAATTTACCTATGGATATTATGACCTACAGTAGACAAAATACAACTATCTTTTACCGCTTTGCACAATCTTCAGGGCAAAAAACTGTAATACAAGAAAAAAGATAAATCCGTATTTTAAGAATGTTTATATAGTTATATAAAAAAACATGATTGGTAATAAATACATAACACAGCAAATAACACAGTCATGAAAATATAATTAGAATAATAAAATTTTCTGTTGCTATATTGTTGTGAGTAGGTACATATTCCATATGGAATGAACTATAAACTTACACTTATTAACATCAACATTAATTAACAACAAATTAACAAACACATATTATATTATAATTATGGTTTTTCAATATCTTAACTATATTTTCATAAAACCATTATTGTTTAGTCATCTAGTTAATTATTTAAATCAAATAATATTTCTTTTGGACTCCGGATAAGAGTTGTTTGTACTCAAATTATTTTGTCATGATATCTACCTAAATTATTCCATCATAATTTAGTCTGTACTTAGATTATTCAAAACAAGCCCATTAGGTTTTTTTTTTTAATAATGGATCTCTAGACTTTATTTTATCATAACCATTAAGATATAAATTAATATTTAAGAAGCTTGAACTGACATATTGAAGAAATAGATTTAGAACCTCGCGAGAAGTTATTTTGTACCTTAAAACCTAAACATAAAGATATTTAAAAAAATCCCAACAAAGTAAAGTTTTATATTTATTTAAAACTCGTTCAGACATTTCAGCAATTATTGCTGCAACATGAGCTGAAGCTTCGAATGAAATGATTTTATGGATTTTATACTCAATTGTGAAAAACCTATCAAAACCACCGAAACCCTATTTACATGTATATGGAGGTTTTAATCTGCACATGGACGAATGGTCTAACTTGTTATTCATGACTCAGCGGGCCAAGTAATTCGATAAAAATAACAATATCAGCTAATAGGTGCAAATTACAAACATCGATTCTACGTTCTGGGTCGCTTGGCCGGAAAAGCTGGGTTTTTGGAATTTATAACACCCGATATTATTTTCAATTGTTTTACTTATGTTCTCAGATAATATTTTGGAGAAGGTATTGATCGTGGCTTCTTCAAAGATCCGAAACTAGCCAGGTGGTGAAAATTGAAATTTGAAGCCGTCAAGTTAGTTTTATCAATCGGACTTAATGTAACAATCTAGTTATTATACTTTCAAAAATTATGAAGCTCTGAACAGCCTAACAATGAGGTATCACCAAGGAGGGTGACAATTGAGAGTTATGTCCAGAGGATAATGAAAAACAATGGTGGCATTCCTCAGCCTTTTACATAACGCTGGCTCCCGCAGGTCTTCGTGTCCTAAATAAAAATTTTGGAAAAGATGAAGTTAATAAACGGAACAAAAAAATGAGCAAGTCTGCTAGGACTGACACGACTCGAGACACTGGTCACTGATATGTGAACTTCACGTGACATTTTCAGGGCCTCCTGCGGTAGGCAGACAATAACTTTAGATTAGGGGTCTTCAGAGTGTGTATTTTCTTCAATTAAAAATGGAAATATTTGACGACGATTTGGAAATATTAGATTTAGTGCAAAGTTAATTTCAATTTTGCCAGCGAACAGCCAATTTTAAATATTTTCCAGAATTAATGCATAGAAACACAAACAAAAATTGAGGTTAGGTCTACGGTCTACTAAAGGAAGCCAATAAAAATTGATGAAAATACACAAATTCACAGTGATCTACTATACCGACATCATCGATATGAAAATCTAATTCCATCTTAGGCCACAAGCGCTGAAGTAACTGTGCACTAATCACTGCGCATGTCACATCCCCTTCACACTTCCGACCCCAGTTCCCGAGATTTACCGCGGACAAAGATGTTAATACATGATAGAAAAATAGAAAGTTCTCGTGCCTGAGCTGTTACCTACGCTAATAAAACGGTATTTTACATGGTATTTTATAGTTCTCGGACACGAAGACACAAAAATCCTCTAATACCTTATCTGTTTACATTTTGACAGCTGCGTTGAGTGATCTAACCCAACTTTTTTTTTGCTTATTTTCTAACTATTATTTATCCTGAAGATTTCTGGGTTTGATCAATTTTCCCTTGGTGTTTTTATTGGAGGAATTATTAGAAGTTGCTGTTCTTGCAGACGTAAATGGAGCGTTAACTAATTTTAAAATCGCATAGCGTTACGGTAAGGCATTCGCTAAGTCCCGTTAGATAGCAGGCTCCGCTAACGCTAATATCATAAGAACTGTCATACTTGTCAATTAGCGTTACGGTATTTGAAATTTGGACAGCACGAGCAAAGGCTGACGTTCAATAATTTTTTCAAAAATGGTCGGGCCCAAGGGGTTTATGTTGTTTACTTCGTTGACAGAAATATTGACGTGTCATTTGAAGATAGTTGAGAATGATATAGAAAACGAGAAGAAAATGGAACTCAGATTCGAACTAAGTGCAGACTAGACTAGACTAATCGGAAAAATCGGCAGTTGCGGAACACGCGCTTAGTGAAGGGAATTACGAAATACTCTTTGGTGAGGTCAAGTTTCTTGCACCCACTTACGGATACCACAATCGTCTTGTAAGTGAAGCTATAGAAATCCGCGAACATACGGAGAACTTCAACAGGAAAGAAGAAACACTAAAACTTAACTAAACCCGGAACCTGATCCTCAAAAACACAAGAAAGATCCCATTGAGTACAGAGAAAGTTCAGACTAGCCCTGTCTCTCCCCCACCACAGCCACTCACACATAAATACAATTTACGGTCGGTAAAGCGTCAGTCTGCTACCAGAATCGGACATGGAAGCACCTCTGAAGATGCTATCTACGCGTGTTAGCGAAACGTCAGGAAGAAATTCCAAATTACGACGGTCATTAAGCCCGAATGAAAAATACTTGATCAATAAACCTGGACCGCGAAAGCCTCACAAACTTTATCATTCCTTAGCCTGTCACATAAGGCTGGCACAACAGGTCTTGATGTACAAAATCGGAATTTTGAAACAGTTACAGAGTTAATAAACAAAACAAAAAAGAATGAGCAAGTCTGCTAGGACTCGAGACACTGGTCACTGATATGTGAACATCACGTGACTTTTTCAGGGCATCCTGCGGTAGGCAGACAATAACTTTAGGGGTCTTCAGAGCGTGTGTTTTAATTACCCTTTAACTACTCGCGCCGGTGTATGAAATACACCATTTCTACTGAAAGGGCGGTAAAACCCCGATCCGGTATCCCCCACTCATCCCCCTCGATGTAACCTACGACCGATGTGTTTACTAGGCGCTCAGGCAATTGCGCTTTGGTAGCTAGAAAGTTAGTTGGTTTATTGACAATTTCTCTAGTGCACTACACCAGACTGTAGTGCAATGCAAGCATTCATGGGTTTGCTATTTGGATATAAGAAACGAAATCATACCCAGTTTTTGGAACTCTGGACGACAAATGGTACCGGTTCCGAATACGAGCATGTATGGGTAAAAACCGATTCCTAGGGTGCAACTACACAGTTGTCGCCACATCAGTCGTGCATTTTCGGGCAAAGCGACAATTTTCTGTTAATTTGCTGTCAATAATAAAGATCTAACCTCAAAATTTAATTTAAAAAAAAAAACAAAAACAAAAGTGTTTATAGCTCAGGATCATACAATTATATTTTTGGTGTTTTGCGTCTAGTAGATAGTATATTAATAAATATGAGATTAAATAGTGAGCACTATGAAATAATAGTAAATTTTGCTGAAAGACATCCAGAAATTATAACCAACAAAGTTGTTGGTTTAAATTCTCGGGAAAAATTCCAAAAAGTCTGTGACGATCTGGCAAATAAACTGAATTCCCTAGGATATGGGACTTTGACTGTGGCTGAGTACAAAAGGGTATGCATACTGACTGATAAAACACAAATGAGCGCTTGAAATAAACAAACATTTTTTTTCCAGAGATTGACCGACTGGAAAAGCAAGGTAAAGGGAAAGAAAGCTAGTGTCACCAAGAGCTTGTCACAAACTAGAGGAGGACAGGGAGTCGGTACAATAATAAATAAACTGGAAGACAGGCTATTATGTCTTATTGGAGATAAAGCTTATGCTGGGGATAACATTCAGGAAATGGGAATAAAAAGAAAAAAACCTGATGATGCTTTAGATTCCAGTAAGGCATTAAAAAAAGCCAAATATATACCAGCCACAATAACTTCATCTCGAACTTCATTTATAGAAGAAACTTCTTTTGCTATGGATGAGCCTCCAATTTCAAAAACTTCTGGCTAGCTAGCTTCAATAAATGCATATGACTTGGATGAAATGGTTCCTGAAAATACCAGTGCTATAATAGATGATGAACCTGAGGAAACCATTACCTTGCAGTGTGATTTTGAAGAATCTAGTAATACTAATAATGAATTGCAAACGAAAACCCCTTCAGTTTCTACATCTCGATGTAAAAAATTAACCAACCTTACTGACTCTGTACAGGAAATGAACAATGAAACATTAGATGTACCAGTGGCGGCTCGTGACAATCCAAACTGGTGAGGCCCATGGCCCATCAAGTTAACCCAAACAAACCCAAGCAAAATTTTCAAGTGTTACGCCCAAATTTTGACCCAAAATTTCATTAAAAGAACATCTTGGATATTTTTTTTTAATATTTCTAATGAAAATTTTCATTTCT